GCCAGTTGGTCGATAGGGTGTGGGTCAAAGCTCAGGCTTCCGCTAGTGTCCAAGTATGAAGCTCTGTCCTTGGTGTTTCTCCGTTCCCGGGTTGGTCAGATCAAGGGGCGGGGCCGCCATTGACCATGAGCCTTTTGGCCCTCAGGCAGGTGTGAGCCTCTCCCCCCCCCCACCTGTCTGCTGAGGGTGGTGCCTGGTCCAGGACAGGTTTAACCTGCTTTGCCCCTCCCCTCTCCACCTGCTTGCTTCACTCCACCAGGTGTTTGCTCTGGCCCTACTCCAGACGCCTGGAGTATGTTTGATGGGGGCTTGGGTTATGTGTGACTGTTCTCATTTGGCCTAGAGGAGGTGACAGTGGACTAGGGCAGGGGTGGGGATTAGAAGCCTGGGATATAGAGCCAGGCCTTCTACTTCCCAGACAGGGTAGGGCTGAACATCCTGCTGAACCAGCTTTGCAGCTTGAGTCCCTCCCTCCCTACCCCCAGTTTCAGCCTGCCTAGCTGTGAATCTATGTCTGAGTCTCCACTCCCTGTCCCCAGTTCTCACAGCTGGTGAGCAGGGATGTGGCTCTGCTGGGCGGGGGCCCTTATGTGCTCTGCACTGATGGACAGCAGCTGCTGCGACAGGTTCTGCACCCTGAGGCCTCCAGGAAGGTATGACACTGAGGGCACATGGGTGGTTGGGTTTGCAAGATCCTTGTTATTGTGGGGATGAACAGGACACTTTAGTTCACCTCCTCATCCTACTCCCATGCGCTTCCAGAACCTGGTGCTCCCAGACACCTTCTTCTCCTTCTACGACCTCCGCAGAGTGTTTCATATGGAGCACCCGAGCGCCTGCCCTGCCAGGGATCTCACAGTGGGCACCATGGCACAGGGTACCTGTGACCCAGCAGAATTAAGGTGGAGGGGTGGCTAATCTCCCCAAGCATGTGCACGCTACTGTATGTGTTATAGTAATGTAGGCAAGTCTGTGTTTTTGGCCTTGTCCTTTAGGGTACCCATGTCTGCATCTTTGCTGGGATACATTTGAATGTGGGCATGTCTGTGTTTGGTCTGAGGACCTGTAGGTGCATGTATGTACTGGGCCATAACTAGTGTTTGTTAGGATTCTGTGGATGTTTGGGGGTGATGTGTGATATATGGACCTGGATCCTAGTTGTCATTTCTCTGCCTGTAGACTTGGGACTAGAAACAGATGCAACAGAAGATGACTTTGGGGTCTGGGAAGTAAAGACTATGGTAGCTGTTATTCTCCACCTACTCGAAGGGCCCAATGGTAAGATTTTTGCACAGCTTGTCACCTACTGTCAGGGTTGGGTGAATGCCTATTCCTCAGTCCTTCTGCAGACTTGTGACTTTCTCTCAGAGAACACAAGGTGGAAACCCCTCTATCACCTCCTCAATTCCCTCACCTGTCCTATTTTTGCAGAGCTTGGTGGGGAGACTTCCTCCACCAGACCCTGCTGACCCCATGCCATCTCCTCTCAGGTCAGTTGTTTTCGAAGCCAGAGATGGTAAAGCAGAAATATGAAACGGGGCCTTGGTGAGTGTGGGAGCAGGGGTGGGGGAGACAACATCTGGACAGCACTGATCCTGTGCCCTGCCCCCACAGCAGCAAGGCTGATGTGGTGGACAATGAGACTGTAGTACGGGCCCGTGGGTTGCCCTGGCAGTCATCAGACCAGGATGTGGCTCGATTCTTCAAAGGGCTCAACATTGCCAGGTGGGTGTGGCAGGCAGGATGGGAGGGGTAAGAGGACAAGTCTATCCAGGAGGCACTAACAACATTGGCTCCACAGGGGTGGTGTAGCACTCTGTCTCAACGCCCAGGGCCGCAGAAATGGCGAAGCCCTCATCCGATTTGAGGACAGCGAGCAGCGGGACCTAGCGCTGCAGAGACACAAGCACCACATGGGTGTCCGCTATATTGAGGTGGGCTTTGGGCTAGAAGTGGAACAGGGCAAATCTGAGTAAGGACTGAGACTTATGGGCTGCTTTCTATTCACACAGGTATATAAAGCCACAGGGGAAGAATTTGTAAAGATCGCAGGGGGTGAGTGTGCCCATAGAAGGCTCTAGTTCTATTGTGTCTTGATCAATATCCCATTTCCCACCACTCTTTGCTTCTTGGGTCCCATTGTGAGTGCATGTTACAAGGACTAAATCAGCAAGCAACTCCTGTTATTCCAACCTAGGTACATCACTAGAGGTGGCTCGTTTCCTGTCACGGGAAGATCAAGTGATCCTGAGGCTGCGGGGACTCCCTTTTTCAGCTGGGCCAACAGATGTTCTAGGCTTCCTGGGGCCAGAATGTCCAGTGACTGGGGGTGCTGACGGACTGCTCTTTGTACGCCACCCTGATGGCAGGCCAACTGGAGATGCCTTTGCTCTCTTTGCCTGTGAGGAACAGGCACAGGCTGCTCTGCGCAGGCACAAAGGCATGCTGGGTAAGCGATACATCGAACTCTTCAGGAGCACTGCAGCTGAGGTGCAGCAGGTGAGACTCAAGGCTTCCCGTGTCCTGCTGCTTCAGAGTGTGCCTTGGGTCCCTGCATAGTGTGATCAACCTGATGCCTTTCTTACTAGGTCCTAAACCGCTACGCAACTAGTCCACTCCTTCCCACACTGACTGCTCCGTTGCTGCCCATTCCCTTTCCACTGGCAGGAGGGACTGGGAGGGACTGCGTACGCCTTCGAGGCTTGCCTTACACAGCCACCATTGAAGACATTCTGAGTTTTCTAGGAGAAGCAGCAGCTGACATTCGACCTCATGGTGTGCATATGGTGCTCAACCAGCAGGTAAGACTACTGCTAGGAAGGGCACCTACACAGGGTAAGAAAGGGTGTGTTAGGAGTAAGCCATTTTTGTGTGGCAAACTGCTTACAAGGTGGTATGCACAGGGCCGGCCATCTGGTGATGCCTTCATCCAGATGATGTCATCAGAGCGTGCTCTGGCTGCGGCCCAGCGTTGCCACAAGAAGGTGATGAAAGACCGCTATGTGGAAGTAGTCCCTTGCTCCACAGAGGAGATGAGCCGTGTGCTGATGGGGGGTTCCTTGAGCCGCAGTGGCATGTCCCCTCCACCCTGCAAACTGCCCTGTGAGTGCTTTCTGGGCTAGAGGAGGAGGCATGTGGGAGCCAAGGTGTTGCAAGCCACCACTTTCCATTCTAGTTATACTACCCAGGGAAATTGTGGGCTCTCTATAAATGTGTTCACTTGTCTCCAGGCCTCTCACCACCTACCTATGCCACCTTCCAAGCCACCCCAGCCCTCATTCCCACAGAGACGACAGCACTGTACCCTTCATCTGCACTGCTTCCAACTGCCAGGGTACCTGCTGCCCCTGCTCCTCTTGCCTACTACCCAGGGCCAGCCACTCAACTGTACATGAACTACACAGCCTACTACCCCAGGTACTTGCTACTAGGACTGCTTCACAGACCTGCTGCCACCATTGGGAAGGGTCCTGATACATTTCTGGCTCAGATAACCCAAGATAGTTAGAAATCAGGACTTCATTTTGAGATGGCAAGGGAATTACAGGTATGGGCTGACAGACTGAAGATACCACTGTAGAGGCAAAGGAGAGGGCGGTCTTGGTCTAGGCTACAGGTGGGACATATGACTAAATTACTGTCTCTCCCACCCTAGCCCCCCAGTCTCTCCCACTACTGTGGGCTACCTCACCACACCTCCTACTGCCTTGGCCTCTACTCCCACCTCAATGCTGTCACAGACAGGAGCCCTGGTCCGAATGCAGGGGGTCCCATATACAGCTGGTATGAAGGATCTCCTCAGTGTCTTCCAAGCTTACCAGGTGAGACTGTGTGGTTGGGAGGGCCTGAGGGCCTAGTTGAGCCTGGAGCTCCACTCCTAAATCTATGTCACTTCTGCAGCTGGCCCCTGATGACTACACTACTCTGATGCCTGTTGGTGACCCACCTCGCACTGTGTTACAAGCCCCCAAGGAGTGGGTGTGTTTGTAGAAGAGGAAACCAGGAAGCAGACTGAGCTGATGTCCTCAGCTAACATGCCTTTCCTGAGGCCAGAGAACCCTCAATTCAGTGGCTTCTTTCTGGATTGTCAAAGTTCTCAAAGGCACCTGGAAAAGATCAAGCTCAGCACCACTCTCCTGCCTCCCATGTACCCTGTTTCTCTGCCTGATCACCCTAAAGATGATAGCTATCTTACAGGCAGGACTGGGGTTGTGATGAGGCTGCTCTATTCCTGATGATTTGACACCAGGAAGCCTTTGATCTGTCCTTAGCCCTCAAATACTGGGGTTGAAGGGTGCACAGCAGGCCTGCATTGATCTTTATGACTCTTGGGAGAATTAAGAGTCTACCTGAAATTGAGACCCCCAACTCTCTACTTTCTCTATCCTGGGAGGAAGGAAGGCAGGGAGTCAGCACCCATCATCAGATACCTGGACCTCAGAAACAAAGTGCCAGGAGTGGTCACAAATAAGTCCCCTCCAGCCAGACCCAAGGAGCTTCGGATGGCAAAACCAGCTGGATGTGATAGTTCATGCCTATCACTATCAGACTCAGGAGGCAGAGGGAGGAGGACTCCCTGAAGTTCAAATCTAGTCTGGTCTACATAGTCAATTTTTGTTCAGCCAAGGCTGTATAGCCCCCTACCACAAACTACAAAAAAACTACAAAAAACCAAACTATTCTAGATTGTGCTGCTGCAATATCCCCAGAGAACACCAGAGGGCAGGTAGCACTTGCCAACTCAGGCTGAACTTAAAGGGGTCTTTGTCATTGTTTTCTTGCAACACCCTGCAAGATCAGTTGTCCAGAACCCAGCAAACACTGTGGCATGTCCTTTGTACCCATTAAGGGATGCAGAACTGGTCCCAGAAGGAATTTTGAACTCTATCTTCTCTGTAAGTTCCTGATCATTTGGACTTTTAAGAAGCCACAGAGCTCTTAGCTCTGGCCCAAAGGGTTCCACACCAGCCCCAGATGGAGAAAAACTCAGATTTCAAGGATACTGTTAATCTGTCACTGTTTATTATTTCAGCACTGTAACTGAGGAGGAGCCTGAACTGCTGGCTCATCTTCCCTTTGTATTTGTCGTAAGGAGCACTGCACTCCTATAAAAGATTTTAAAATATAAAATGTACAAGAAAACACAATTCCAAGTGCTGTAAACATAGCTGAGAACCAATTTCTTCACCTAGACATCCATTCTATAAAACACATGGTTTCGACTTGGGCCCATCTGAGCCTTGAATATGTGTTGTACATATTAAAAACTGGGCCTCTCAGTTCAGCCAGCAGAGGTCTGGTGATACTGGCTGGTCCTGGGTGGTGATGGGTTGTAGCCAGGGCAGCAGCACCACATGTGAACCCAAACATCCCGTTTTAATGTTTTCAGCCATGTTTCTCTTGTCTCTAGTAAACAGAAGGCCGCTCCTTCATTCCTCAACCCAAGGTCTAGTACAGGTGTGAGAAAAGGGTATGTGCTAGTAAATGCCCAGTTGCTCAGTGCTGCTACTAGAAATCAATTTGCATAGTCCAATGGATGTGTGCTTTACCATTACTATTTTGCACAAAAATTTAAATCTTTATCTACAAAGCCAAAAAATATGACTCTTACATGAAAGCTTATACAAAGCTAATACAAAACTGTTACATAGAATACAAAGCTCTATTTTAAAATCTAAAATGTTTTAAATAGGAAAGCATTTCTAATGCTACAGGCATCAAGGTATTCAAAAAGGCATCAAATTTTGGTGCATAGCAACTCTGGATCATAGAGGCTTTTATTCTTGAAGGCAGCAAAGCAGCACCCCCAAGGGGTCTTGCAATGACCCCACATGAGGCAGCTGCCCTAGGGGAAAGAGGGTAGAAGCAAATGTGGCCAAGTCTCTACAAGTTCACCTGAAAGGCCAATGCCCTGTAGATGAAGCTGTGGGCTACCAACCATGGGCCCTAAAGCAAATCTCAATATCCACACTCATTGATACAAAACCCACTTTCAGAGAAATTTGGAAAATATCCAGCTCCAAGACTGGCCAGAGCAATTTGCTGATAGACTGTTTCCTAACTAGTTTGAGGGGAGAAATTTAAAAGGTCATGTTAAAAACAAACATATTTCTCTTATCCTGAATCAGTACCTCTTACCCTGCTCACTAGAATTGGTAGGCAATATACCAGACCCTACCATTAAATGTCACAATCCTCTAGACAGCCCATGTTTTAAGCCAGTACAGCAGTGTCTCACTTGTAGGCACTCAACTTGCTTCCTGAGTAAGTGAAAGTATATTATGTCATTTGAAAACATACTGTAAAATTCAGGGACTGTAAAAGGGAAGGGTAAAGGCAGGGTTTGGGAATAGTACCCAACTAGGGCACCTCCTTTGGTAGGCAGCAGGCTGGAGTTTCTGCTGACCCCTGCCTTGGACATAAGCCTCACCAGCAGCAGCACCAGGGTGTCTTTGGTGTGGAAGGACAGTCTATGACACCACCTCATTTTTGGATGTGCCTCAAAGCCTTTTGGAGAAAAGGCCAGTTTTTAGGTCATATAGTCAAGACACTATGGGACAGAATCATTGCAACTGTAAACAGGAGATAAGCCTTCCATGCCATTGTGAACCTAAAGTCTTCTCATCTTGAGTCCTGTATTTTCTCTGGCCCTCCTAGTACACACCTCATACTCTCCAGACACTGCTGGCCTGACTCCAGGAGTTAAAACTGCAAAGGCTAAACTATCAGGAGACTGGCTTCAAAGACAAGACTTGAGGCAGATGCTCCCATTTGAGAAAACAACTACCCAAGCTAAAACCCTACTTTTGAAATTCATCTTACAAATGACCATTTTATTTTACCCTTTACCTGAAGGAAGAAAACAGCTTGAACATGGAGCTAGTGGAGAGACTGCTTGATGACTAAAGTTACAAAAAAGACTATGCTTTGGAATGTATTCATATTCCAACACTTCAATGATGGAATGGTCTCTTCTTGATTTATCTAACATTGTACTTTTTATAAAGAGTATGAGCTACATTTGGCTTTATTTCCTATGAATCTATGAAAGGCTTCAGGATGCATGCTATGTTTCTGAGGTCTAAGTGTAGGCTTAGGATAATTTTTTTGTCTACCTCTGGAAGGCTTTATCAAAATTGTATCTTAAAAATATCAAGACTAAAGGGCTCTTCAAATGACCAGAAAGCAGTACAAATTACTAATCCTAGCTATATGCAACCAGGTCACCTGCAAGAGCAGCACCTCTGAAATAGAGAGCCTGCTGCATTCACACTCAAAGCACCCATCATATAAAAGTATCATATATATGTAAAAAGCAATGCTCATTTCCCAACAGCTTAAACAACCTATGCCGTTCCTGTTCTTTCATAAAAATCTGCCCAAGGCTTGAGGTGGAGGAATGCTGCTTTTCCCACAGTGAGTCCAACTCTTGGAACAGGTTCTGAAGTGGCTGGAAACCCAAGATCCAAGAGAAGCAAGTAGTGAGCACTGTTAGAGCCCATCAGAGTTGGGATGGAGAGGAGCCTCTCTGCTCACCTCTGGGCCTTGGGAAACAGAAATTTGGGACATGTCTCTCCCAATTATCTCGTTCACTGAAAAAGAAAGAGAAGAGTGGTTAGTAACCTCAAAGGAATATGAGGTTTTCCTCTTAGACATTTCCTTTCCAATGGCTTCGAGTAAAGGTAAAGGCTTCACTTGAAGCTTACTCCAGAGCTGAATGACATAAAGATAAAAGCATCATTCCTTAAGTGCTGCAGACCTCCCTTTTCCCCTCTGAATTCTGTTTGGATTTTTAAAGGGATGGCTGAGAACAGGAAACATTTTGTTAAATTTTTATTTTATGAATGTTTTGCCTGCACGAATGTCTGTGCACCATGCACTTTCACTCTTGGTGCCTTGGAGGCCAAAAGAGTACAGCATCCTCTCAAACTGAGGTTATATAGGTGGCTATGAGCCACCATGTGAGTGCTAGGAATCAAACTCAGATCTTCAGTAAGAGCAGCAAGTACTTTGTTTTTGTTTTTTGAGACAGAGTTCAGGGTTTCTCTGCATAGGTCTGGTGGTTCTGGAACACTGTAGACCAGGCTGGCCTTGAACTCAGAGAAAAGTGCCACCACCTCAGGCTTTTCAGCAAGTGCTTTTAACTGCTGAGTCATCTCTCCAACCCCAACAATAAACATTCTCATCCCCATTCCAAAGATTCATGCTCCAAGTAGACCTGAAATGTACTTTAATGCAAAGAAGGCAGAGCCTACAGGAAACGAGGAGGAAGAAGACAGGGCTTTTTTCAAGGAATTCTGGGAACAGAAGCTCCTTCTCATTCAGAGGGATGACCCTTCACTGGCCACATATTACCAGTCTGTGTTGAGACTCTCAGATCTGAATAGGATCTGCCTTCAAGGGTTGTACAACAGAAAAGATGTGAACGTCTAGCCGTGCATCAATGGGAAGAAGGTTTTACTTAAATAAGGATGGCAAAGTATACTTCCTTCAGCTGAGAAAAGATTTTGATCAGGAAAGAGGGCAAAAATTCAGTTCACCAACCACAAAGATTTAAGGATGAACTCTGGAAGAGCCAGGAAAAGTTGGAATGTTACTTTAAGCTCAAATGTATACATGACTCCAGCAGGATCTCAGGGCCTCCCTCCCCATGATGATGATGTTGAGGTTTTTATCCTGCAGCTGGAGGGAGAGAAACACTGGTACCTCTACTCCCCAATTGTGTCCTTGGCCATGAGTACAGTGTAGAGCCTGAGGCCTGGATTGGTACACCAACACATGACTTCATACTGAAGCCTGGTGATGTGTTGTACTTCCCCAGAGGGACCACTCATCAGGCAGAATCTCCTTCAGGCCTGGCTCACTCTACTCATGTGACCATTAGCACCTACCAGAACTAATGGGGGAGATTGCCTTTTGAATTCCCTTTCTGGGCTTGTATTTGACATTGCAAAGGCTTTGAGGACTGGAATATCCCAGCAGATGCTCATGCAGGTGGAAACCCCAACTGCTGCACTAAGAAAATTGAGTGGTTTTCTAAAGATCCTCGCAGACTAGCTAGAGGACAGAAAAAAAAATCTCTTGTCATCAGACATGAAGAAGGATTTTGTCATGCATAGACTCCCCCCTTACTACATGTAAAGTGGAATAGACATGTTGGTACCAGGTATAAAGTTCCCAACGTTGGACAGCACAGTAAGACTGTAGTTTAAAGACCACACTGTCCTCACAGTAGGGACAGATGAGAATCAGTCTGATGAAGCTCTACAAGGTGATTTACATCTATCATTTGCTAAAGAATCTGAGACAGACATGCATGATGGGAAAAGATGAGGAAACACAGATTCATGAACTTTGCTTCTCTTTATCACATCTGGATGCTCTGAAGCAAATCTGGAGTGGTTCTGCAGTGTTTGTCAAGGACTTGAAACTTGCCACAGATGAAGAAAAGAGGAACCTGGTACTGTCTCTCTGGACAGTGTTTGATCTAAATACTCCAGTGCCTGCATACAGAGAACTGTAATTTTCTATGCACATATTTTCATTAAAGGGAAAATTTAATTGGAAAAAAAAAAAAAAGTAAACGTTCAAGGGTAACTTCAGTTCTAGGTGATTCAATGCCTTGACCTCTTCTGACCTCTCAGGGCACTAAGCATGCAGCGGGTACACAGGCATACAAGCAGGCAAAACCCATACACATAAAAATTTTCAAAACATCTTTAAAAAGTACACTTTATTCTAATTTTTCCCTATTTTGAATTCCTCTGGGAAAACTTTCCCTTTTGGTTTCCCACAGTGCCATCTAAGAATATAAAGTAAAAGAAAATGTTTTAGCCAGTGTAAACCACTAAGCTTTAGGAGTTACTTTGTTGTCTTGTCCTAATACATGTATCCTTTATTATGTGTGGTCACTTATATATGTGTGGCCCTTTCTAATTGTAGGCTCTTGCTTTTTCTAATGTACCTAATAGAAAATTACGTCTTAAAAAAAAAAAAAAAAAAAAAAAAAAAAAAAAAGGCTGGGTTTGGGCATTTAGGAACCCAACCTTGGCTACATACATGCAAACATACATACATATGTACGTACGTACATACATACATAGTGAGCTCAGGACCAGGCTGGGTTACAGAGTGATAAGAGTGTCCTTCCCTGGAAACAAATAGAGGAACCAACAAGAAAAAAGAAACTGGAATTATAGGCATCTACTGCCAAACCTAGTCTTTCGTTATTTTCAAATACAGTTAAGAGCATTTGCTGCTCTAACAGAGGACCCAAGTTTGGTTTCCAGCACTCACATGACAGTTCACAATTGTCTGTAATTCCAGATCCAGGGGATCCAATGCCTTTTTTCTGGCTTCCTTAGGCATGCACACTAAGTACATACATAGATGCAGGCAAAAACACTCAAGCACATAAAAGCCTTTAATCCCAGTACTAGGGAGGCAGAGGCAGAAGGATCTCTGTGAGTTTGAGACCAGCCTGGTCTACTGATTGAGTTCCAAGACAGTCTCCAAAGCTACACAGAGAAACCCTGCCTCAAAAAAACGAAAAATAAAAAACCAAACAACAAAAAAACCCTAAAACCCAACAAAACAAAAACCCAAAACAACACCCCCCCAAAAAAAAACCCAGTTCTACATAATTTTCCTTTTAATGATAACGCTTTCAGCCAGGCAGTGGTGGAGAAACTCTGTGAGTTCAAGGTCAGCCTGGTCTACAGAATGAGTTTCAGGGCAGTCAAGGTTACACAGAGAAACCCTGTCTTGACACCCCCCCCCCAAAAAAAAAGTCATAGGGTGATCACTTGCCTATCCAAAGCTCTGTCTCAAAATAATAAGGTGGAGAGTGATAGAGCAAAATACCTGATCTACTCTGGTTTCTACACATATACCTGCCCACACATATATTCATTTAACACACACATACTTATTTACACATAAAAAAATAGCTCACTAATACTTGTAATATTTTTCTTCCTTTTAGAGATGAGAAGTTCTTGCAACATAGACTTGAATAGGCAGATATTTGTTATGTAGGCCAAGCTAGCCTGCAGTCCCACCTCCTGACAGTTGGGATTTACGGGGATGACTACCACCATACCCAGATGCAACTTCAATTTTCACTTCACTTTGAATGCATGTATTTAACACTTATTTTATATCATAGTTCATAAAGTATGAGATGTTTTATATGTTTCTGCCAATTTCAGAGAAAGAGATGTTATATCCCTAATGAACCATTTTCTTTTTGGGGGGAGGATGGGGTTAAAACAGGGTTGCAGCCTTAGCTATGTAGCCTTGGCAGTCCTGGAACTTTAATCCCAGCACTTGGGAAGCAGAGGTAGGTGGATCTTTGTGAGTTTGAGGCCAACCTGGTCTACAAAGGAGTTTCATGACAGCCACGGCTGTTACACAGAGAAACCCTGTATCCAAAACAAACAAACAGTAAACTAAAAGCCCCAAAATAGTCTACAATCCTCAATACTATTACCAATAGATTATGGCCCACTTTTAGCAGCCACAATCCATAACTTCCAACTGCCAGCACAACAGAAAAACCAACAAAACAAACCAGTAATGACAACAAATGTTTCTTAAGAAAATGTTCAAATTAGCCATGCACTGAAATATCCTACACAGCAGAATAAGCTATTATGTAGCAACAGGCCTCTCCTTTAGAGCTATTTCTCATGCACAAAGATTCAAAGTTGCATTTCACAAGCATTGGTATGGCAAAAAAAAAACAAAAAAAAAACAAAAAAACACTCAAAATCAGAAGAAGAGGAACAAGGAGACCAGGGCACATTTTTTGTATACTGGTAAGTGTACAAAAACTTAGGAGGCCTTCAGTTTGTTTTGTTTTGTTTTGAGATGAGGTCTCTCAATGTAGTCCTGGTTGTCCTAGAGCTAGCTATATAGGCCAGGATTCTCCTGCCTCTACCTCCTTTGAGGAGACTGCCCCGCCCCTGCCATTTCAAGCCAGGATGGGGTTAAGGATTGACTCAAGGGGCCTTTCATCTTAGTAATGAATTTTGAGTCTTTTTAAAAAAAAGATGTTCATTTATTATGCATACAACATTATGCCTCCATGTATACCTACACACCGGGACACCAGATGTCATTATAGATGGTCATGAGATGGTGTGGGTGCTGGGAATTGAACTCAGGACCCCTGGAAGAGCAGCCAGTGATCGTAACCTATGAGCCATCTCTCCAGTCTGAACTTTTGAGTCTTATTAAGACTTTATTTAGAAGGCTGAGCGTGGTAGTACACTACTTTAATGCCAGCAGAGGCAGAAACATGTGGATCTTTGTGAACTCTAGGTTAGCCTGGTCTACATAGTGTGTTTTAGTATGAGCAGAGCTACATATTAGAGACATCTGTATCAAAGGAAGAAAAAAAAGGGGGGGAAGGGGTAGAACCTCTAGGCTAATAGTACATATATTTAATCCCAGAATGGCAAGAGGATCTCTATGAGGCCAACCTAGTATACAGGTGAGTTCTTGGATAGCCAGGGCTACACATAAAGACCCTATCTCAAACAAAACAAAACAAACAAAACAAAAAGAACAGAACAAAACCCATCCTCTA